TGGTGCATATCACCAGTCTGGCACAATGTGCTAGACAGCACCCAACAGCTCATTCTTTCAATAGTAACATCTTGGAGAAGAGTTTCCCATTATGCTAGAGGACAAAGGGTGCTCCCCTGGACCTCAATAGGTGTATTGGCCCAGGGTGAACAGATGAACCCTCAGTATCAAAAAGCAGCTGCCCAAATCACTATTATTTTAAGTTTGGTATTCAGTATGTCCAGGATGAGATGCTGGGTTGCTTCATGGCAACCAAGGAATTTGCTTAGAGCAAAGCTGAGTTTATATGCAGGAATGAAATGCTGACTTGACCGCCTCCATCCTTTCAGGCTATCGCTGAACTGTTCTACTAAGTCTTCATTTTTCATAGCGTTGAAAAAGTCATGAAATTCAGCATTGACGATGACATTGCTCGTCCTCATAAAGGTGGCAAACCCAGAGGCAGCAAGGCCAGGCTGATTTATGCTCAGGCAACCTCCAGTGAGGACCAGAGGCAGCCTCGAGGTGCTTAGCAGGCGGCTCACACGCAGCTGCTTTCCCATGCAGAGCTCCTCCAGCCCGTGTTCCTGGCCCCACCGGGAAGCGCAGCACAAAGCCGGGCAGCATTTGGGCACAGTGCTGCCAAGTCCATGGCAAAGCTTCCGCTGGCAGCCCAGGAGCAGGCAGGAGGCCAGTGGGGCTTCTTGTCTGCAGGCAGCCAAGCAAAGCTGCTCCCGAATTTTCCCTTTTTTTCCCCTGGAATCCAGCCACTTGAGAGGTGAATGCTCTCTTCTTGCACTGCTTTTTCTTCATTTTTTTTGAAGAGACTACGCTAGAAAAAAAAGACAAAACTTTTAGCAAACACCATGGACAATCTTATTTTTACTACTATTATTGTTTTACTTCCACTGCTGCTTGTCTGCTTATTTAGCAAGAAAAAACCCCGTGTACTACTTCATGGTATTGACAGAGGTCCCACCAACCTGACAACACCCAACAGGACAACAGAACTGGCACAAACTGCACCCAGTATTCATTCTGCTCCATTACAGGCCTTACCTTGTGTGTGCAGAGATCCTAGCACACTCTATAGAGAGAATCATGGAATTGTTAAGGTTGGAAAAGAGTGCTGAGATCACCCAGTCCAACCCCAACCCATCCCTACCGTGCCCACTGACCACATCCCTGAGTGCCACATCTCCACCTCCCCACCACCTCCCTGGGCAGCCTGTTCATGGCTCTTGTCACTGACTTGAGTAGAGGGAAGTGTAGGACAACAGATAATGCTGGCACTTGTTCTGCCTTGCTGGGGTGCCTGGCTGCTCTCACTGCAGGAACCAAACCCAACAGACAGCATGGCTCTTTGGTTTATCCCATGCAGTTTGGGATGCTAAAGTATCATGGGGGAACTCATTGAAATTTTGAATTTCAAAGATAGTTTGAAGAAAATTCAATGGAATTTTATCTTTTCTTTCCTCCATTCTCTGTCATCTCTAGCTTAGAGACTGAACTCAACGTTAATAATAGTAGCTTCTTTAGTCTCTATTGACTACAAATGAGCCAGATTCAGAAAATTTTACTTTTTCCTCCTTCGAATAAAACTAGCAATGCCTTTGTTGGAAAGTTACCCAGGGAGGAAATCAAACAAAAACTAAAACATCACCTTGATTTGGAATAAAACCAAAAACCCTCTGTGTCTCTGCTCACCAAACCCTCCAGCTCAAACGATGTGCTCAGTGTCACTTTTTGCCAGGCAATAGGAAGATGTGTTAAACTACATGATCAATTAGCCAAGGCAGCTTTGTTGCAGGGTACAATCAGACAGCAAAGCAAGACCTCACAACCTTCCCATACCACCTTCATTTCCTGAGTAGTCAACTTGAACCACATGAGAAGTGACTCAAGCCCAGATCATGCTGAAATATCCATCACACGACTCATTCACTTTTATGTATGTTTGGGGTCTTTGGTTGGTTGGTTGGTTGGTTGGTTGGTTTGGTTTAGTTTGGTTTGGCTGGGGTTTGTTTTGAGGTTTCCTCATTTATCCCCCAGCATCTACTCAGGTACTTTGGTCTTGATGGCTCCAATTTGCCAAAAAAATCAGTGTGTGTCTGAGGCTTTGAGCTGGTTTCCTGTCTGGTGCTGAAAGCCTGCCACAAGCACATCCATCTCTATGAGCAAAGAGTTGCACGCTTTCCTCCTAAGGCTTAAATTAAGTCTTAATGAAGACTCAGAATTTAAGATTAAATGTTCAGCCCCTGGCTAATTATGTTTGCAAGGCTCAATTTGCGTGGCAAGTGTCTGAGCTGAAAAAAAAACAGCCCCAAATCGTATTTACATAATAGGCAATATGGGCAGTCCTCCCTCAAAATGGCACAAGGAACCCATGCAGAGCTCCAGTGTGCTTTTGGGCAGCCACTCTTCATTTCAAAGAACTTGGTTTGACCAGTGTTCTGTTAACTCCCCACTCAGGTCTTACACTACAATTCCTGCCATCGGCTCCATCAAGTTTTCATTTTTACATTTCTTCTCCCTGTAGCAATGTCTTGTAAACAGCCTGGTTATTTATGGCTATGGACAAGGTGGAAAATCCAGTGAATATCTCACAGTATTAAGGAAAAATAGCAGTGGTTACTGCCTCATACAACGCACATGATAAATCTGAATAATCTGAATTTATATCGCAGCGGCCTTTAAAATGAAGAGCTACAATGTCCCCCCTTTTTTTTTTTTTTTTAAATAATGCACAAAAATTCTAATAAACCATTTAGTCTGAACCTCAGGGAGAAGTGAGGCTGTTCAGATGTAGTGACTTGCCGGATTATTGAGAACGACTGTGGCTGCAACTACTATGACTTACCAGTATATCTTTTCCCCTGTTTTGTTTTTGTCTTTTTTTTTTCCATAACAGTACCATTGTAGAGCTCCTATAAAAAAAAAACAAAATTTCCTTCTTATCCAACAGACAGAAATACTTATGAGGTTCAGAGAAATACAACTAAAGCGATGGCACTACTTGAGCCTACCATGTGCAGGCTTTACCTGCATGTGCTCCATCCCCCTGTCTGAATTCTTGCAACACTCCTGCTAGTTTTCCCCCTTCTGTGGATCCACCAATCAATTTCTCCCCTTCATTATTAACAAACTTCCTTCAGAAATGAAACACGAGGCTCAGAACATCTCCGGGAACCTCTGCTGCCACTGTGTATAAAACAGATGTAAATGTAAAGGCTGTCTGCTGCGTGACATGAAGTAGATTACACCTCCCACTATGCAGAAAAGCACAGGCACCAACATTATACCCACTTGTTAAGAGTCAGATAGAATTTTTATTCTGTTTTTAAATATTTCATAACTTTTTTTTTTTTTTTTAAAGCATCTGTAGTCAAACACAAAGCAAGAAGTTGCCAAGAAGCATTTCCCTCTGGCTGGTGGCACCTCGGTGTTTGTGCTCTCAGCATCTCTCTGTAGGTATGCAAAAGCATAACTACGTCAACCCATCTTCAGTACCACGACTGACAACACACCAGGTTTCAATAAATGAATGATTAGCTGTGGGACGCAAAAGGAGATTGTGTGTTTTGTTGTTGCTTGACAAGCTGACAAGCGGGTGAAAAATCTCGCCCCGTAAACACAGTTGTCTCTGTTGATAGAGAGATGTGCTATGGAAAGGCATTTGTCACTGTAAACCCTTCGATACCCAACAAAGATGGATTTCAATAAAAATCAAGAGACATTAAACTCACTCATCAGGCTCAGGCTTAAAGGTGAACGTTACAAATCCATTTCTGTTGATCTCAGTGTTTAGAGCCAAGAGGCCGTGGAACAAGTGCAATTTCCAACACCACCTGTTTCTGCTGGCTGCCCTGGACATGATGCCCAGGGCTGAACCCCACCCACCAAAATGCCAGCAGAGCATCACTGAAGACAGATATTCCCCTCACGGTATTTTGGGGTAGATTTCCTTCTCTTTCTCTTTTTTTTTTTTTTCTTTTTTCTTTTGACAACAAGCAGACCACTTTATCCTGAAATATTTACTAGACTTATTAAGGATGCAAACAACCAAGCCTTCCTTCACCTCTGCATCCAAGAGCTGGACATGGCTCCAGCCTCCCAGAGCACACTCCCTGGAGTGCTCTCCTCAGCTCAAAAGCAAGATGTGGTCCCAGGAATAATCCCTATCCGCTCCAAAATTTGACCTACAGCAACTCAAGGAGGGAAAAAGCCCTTTTGCTCTGGTCGTTCACTCTGCTTTGATGGATAAGCATTGCAGAGACACAGCAGCGTGTCCCTTAGACAATAAATAACATCTCTGGATACTTCTAGTAATTTCTGGGGCACTTTAGTCCTTCAGATTCACACATATTAAAGAAATAATTTTCAGTTCAGCTGCAGTGAAGTGGTTGGCTTGAACATGAAGGTCCTCCTTTAGCCTTTGGGAGCACAGAGAGAGGGTTATACCATCCACTTGGTAGGGTCTGTTCTCCAGCCCTGCTCAGCAGACATCCTTTAACACCTGTGAGGCGCACAGCCGGTCTCTCTAAACTTTACCTTTCCTCCCGTCCTCAACATTCTCATCATACACACATATCCCCCTTCTCTCCCCCTGTCTGCTCCTCTCGCAATACAACACTGCCCTCTCACGGCTCGTCTGCTGCCAAAACTTCACGTTTACAGGCTTTACACTGGGGCAGCGCGCTGCGAGGATGCATCCCAGAATCCGTCTGCTCCCTGCACAAAAGGCAGAAGAGATGGGGATAAACAAAAACCACAGGATGATTACCTTGTTTCTTCACTCCCAGCACCAATGGGAAAAGTGCCCCTGTGGCATTGCCCATTTATCACCCCATACAGTATCTGCTCCATGTTGACTACGGGCACTCCAGACCCCTGCCCTCTGCTTTGGCACCAACCCTGGAGGTGTTCAAGGAACGCTTGGACGTTGTGTTGAGGGTCATGGTTTAGTGAGAGCTTTTGGTTATCACTGGGTGATCCTGTGGGTCTTTTCCAACCCTGGTGATTCTATGATTCTACGATCTTAACAGCCCTCTTCATGTAAGCAGTTCTTCAACACAACACTCGTCGATACCTCCAACACTTTCACCAACACAAGGTGCAAGATGCTATTCAAAATTAACTGTACAACCAATGCTGTTCTACAGTCTGGACTCCTGAACTGGAATCAGAGAAAGGGATGTACAGGGAGAGCTGCACTTTAATGCACCCAGCATAACTGTAAGCCACCCACTGCAATATTGCATTTTGCTCCTCATTTGCAAGGCTTATTGAAAATGTGGAATGTCAAGTTTTACCTGCTGATGGTGAACGTAAGGCTCTGAGCCTGGAAGCCAGATGTGGTCACTGCCTTCTCTGCAATGGCCCCCATTTGATCGTGCTAGGGAGAGCATCATCAGTGAGCTGAGAGCCAGCACCCTTCAGAGCACTGCCGATCAATTTCAAAGCTGTATTTCCATTTAATGTGAAGCCAGTCTTTTTTTCTTCCTCCCTTTCTGTAGGGCAGGGATGGAAGATCTCCAGGAATTCACAGCTGAGGGGTTCACAACATTTGCTCTCCAGGTTGGCCAGGCATAGCTGCAGTCCCACCCTGGCCACCATACCCTCCCACTCCTGTTTTCTCCAATAAAACCTCTTTTGGAGGTATAATCAAGTGGCTGGGTTTAGTCCTCCCTTTGGAGGATGGTACTTGGCTGTACTCAGCTTGGTGTTTCTTCTGCAGATTTATAAATATGAGGTAAGATATAACTCCGAGGCTAATATTTGGCAAGGTATCAGCTAAAGTGGGAGGACATCTGAATGCACAAGAATGGGAGGGATTCTAGGAGGGCTAGGGAGTCCTATAGTACCAAATCCCCTTCTAGCATCAAGAATGGAGATATGAAAAACAGATCTAAAGGGAAAGAAGGGGAATTCTGTCTCCAGCAGCCCCCTCAAACAAACCCCCTTGCTCTGTTGCCCATCAAGGCATTGTTACAAGCCACTCCTTAGACACAGTGTAGATGTCTGGCCCCAATTCCTACCTCCTGTGTTTGATTTGCTCCTCTCCTTCTGCACAAACAGGGCTGGATGAGGTCTCCACCATCTTGCATCACAGCCAGGAGGGCTTCGTCCCCAGCGAGGCATGTGGCACTAAGCTCTGCAGGCAGTGGCAGGACAAGTGTCACCACAGAGCTGTGAGGCTGGCAGGAAAACCAATCAGGGTGTGGAGATAGGGTAAGGAAAGAGATTGCACATGCAATACCTGTATCCATTGTATGAATCTTGTCCCCTCTGCTTAGGAGGTATTGGATCAGACCAAACAAAAAACTCATTTTTGCTGTTTTCAGGTTAAACCATAGGTGTACAAAACAGGGAAATATTCTGGTATAGGACTTAGTGTAGGACTTGTCTGCTAGCAAGAGAAATCTCTGTACTGCTGGGAGACTTCCTTCAGGGAAAGAAAAGTTGAGAAATAATTTATAAGTACAAAAATGGATTACAGCATGCAACTCGTGCTTTTCATATCAGTAGAACTTCAGCTTATGTTCGCTGCCTAGATTGTAAAGTTCTTGGTGTTCCCATATTTTTCCTATCACTCCATTTGAAACTTCTAAGAAGTTTGGGGACATTTCTAAAAGAAGAGACACGCGAGCAAGCTATCAAACTGAAACCAATGAGGTGCCATGCTTCGAGGTTTCCTCTGCGGCTTCAGTTCTGGCAGACAAATCTCAGCCTCGGCTAACCCAGAAAAAAGGTCAGCCAAGCCATCAAACATTTCAAAGCACAATTAAGACCCTAAATGAGAGAAGTTAAAGTTTAATGCTGGAACTGCACCGCCAGTTGATGCTCACCAATTACAAGGGTCACTTGAAATACGATCGGTGAAAGCGCTGCGTGTCAGAAAGCTGCCTCTGCTGATGGGAGCGAGGAAATTTTCTGGCAAGGCAAACAACCTTGCTCTAATAATACGACTGCTGCTATAAAAAGAGAAAAAAAAAAATAAGAAAAAAAAAAGCAATTCAAATTCAGTTCAGAAGAGCTTGGAGTTGATGCATTTTGATGCCCTTAGAATAATTCAGCTCCCATATGGGTGCGGTTATCTCAACCCAGTCAGAAATTAACTCTTCATACCAGGAATACAGCACTAAAAGAGAAATCAAAGACTGGGGGAGAGAGAAGAAGAGCCAACAAAATAGTCTGATTCAAAAATACCATGTAATTTCTTTTTAATAGTGTGTAATTTAACACCGATCATCATTTCCCAGCCTTATGAATTCTTCAGAGGAACAACCTATTCTTAATATTAAAATTAAAAAAAAAAAGAACAGTCAAATCTAAATGAAAAAAAAAAAAAAAAGTTGAGTAAAGCATTTTGACATCAGAAAGAACAGAAATGAAATGAGGATTGCATATTTGACATTCTTCTGCTGCAGCTGATTACATCTGACAAGCTCCTGCATTGTGTTTTGTTTGAACAAACACCAACTTTCTCAAGAGCAAAACATATCACGAAAGCCTCTTCTCTGCCATCCTCCCCGTGCCTACAGGACTGTTCTAGAGGATAATGCTGAAATACTGTAGTAACAGCATGAATGCCTTAACAGCACAGTAATTACCAGCAAAACAGAAAAAAAGTTTGGCTCTAACACTCCCAGTAACTTTCCTGCCAAGTCACCACAGCTAGGACTGTTTTCCACTAAGGACCAAGGGTTTGCCAGGATCTGACTTCCCCCAGATCAACCAAGGAAGGCATTTGAGGATTCAGCTGAGCATCCAGGCTTGCTCTGACTTCAGCTCTGTTTTCCCTAAGTCACAGAAGTTGCTTGTTTCTGGGAGGGGATGACCTTCATGCTGATAAACACTCATAAAAACTATTTACTCCCAACATTTCTTCCTGGAATATGGCTTCTGATGGGGCATGATCTCATGGGAAAAAGGCCTGGACTGCCTTCCTGATTGCTTCTAATTAATCTGTCCAGATAAGCTCAGACATCAGGCCCCACAGCGCTCAAAAACCTCCATATCCCCCATGTGAGTTTTTTGTATGACTGTGTAAAGGCCTTAATGCACACAGGTCAGTGTTTCAGCTACTGTAAAACATATACCACAATGGGGCAATATCTTTTATTTGCCACAGATCCAAAGTACGTCAGATGCTAAGGAGCCCTATGAGAATGTGAGGGGGTGGAGCACTGTGCACTGCCTCTGGTTTCTGTAGATGTTCGGTGGGAAGGAGGATGAGGGTGAAGGGAAAACAGTGGAGGGATACTTTCAACTAATGATTGGTAGAGATGAGGAATGGCTTTAAACTAAAAAGGAGGGGAGATTTAGGTTAGATGTTAGGAGGAAATTCTTTACTCAGAGGGCAGTGAGGCCCTGGCACTGCTGCCCAGAGAAGCTGTGGGTGCCCCATCCCTGGAGGTGCCCAAGGCCAGGTTGGATGGGACCAGGACAACCTGAGCCGGTGGGGGTTGGAACTGGGTGGGCCTTAAGATCCCTTCCAACCCGAACCATTCTGTGATTCTGTGATAAGAAGAACCCAACTTCATGCTCTCCTCCTATCTGAAGGAGCCCTGCTGGGGTCCCCATCAATTCAACAACAACAATTTTATCAGTGACATACCTGACAGCATTTTAAGCTGCAGCATCTTAAGATGCTGGAAAACAGAGTCAAATCTGAGATTTACCAACACCATCCATTTCTACTGACAGAAAATATGCAGAACACCATTGAAGACAATTGAATCTGGATCCTTTTTAACCAAGACAAAAAAAAACCCCACCAAACAGCATGCCTAATTAAATCATGTTCCAACACATATCGCAACGAAGTCCTTAGCTCAAATGCCACCTTGACACATCAGCTATCTCCTTTCATTACAGTCATCTTCATTTCTGGTGTATAATCTAAGTCGTAACATAAAGGTTTCTCTGTGGTAGTAAGAGGTGACATTATAAGTCATTACACTGTGGTTTATAATGCCAGTGGAATAATTTTGCATCAGGGGTTACGGCCACATTCTTGAAAGAGAACGATGTTATGGGAAGTAATTACTTCCCCCCCATATACACACTAGCTATTAAACTTTAATAACTCAAGATATGATTTCAGGTTTCCTAGAAGACAGGTTTGCAGAGAAGGTTTCTGTAATTCTTATATTTTAGCGGCCAGAAGGAAAGTATCTAGTAAATATTCACTATTTCATTCATACAACAAGAAAGAATTGCAAATGAATAGAAAATGGGCTGTTCGTGGCAAACCAAAAGAAAGGCTTTTTCCTCAGCTCAGATCCCAGAAAACAAATCTCATCTGATGGGCAGCTTGTGTGTCAGCTAATCCCATAAATGCAGTTATTTAGACTAGAAACTACAAGCGACATGTGACTGCAGACATAGGAAGAGAAATCTAGGGTGTACTTAAAAGATTAGATCAGAACCAATGACAAACGCCCTGTAATTATTCCAGGCAGTTGCACTGGTTCCTTAGCTGATTTGAAAGACCAACCCACCTCCTCTGAAGAACTACACATAGCCAACTATGGGTATATATGCACTTTACAATAACTCCCTAAATTTGTCTCCTTGCCTGTTTTATAGCCTTGTCATTCTGCTTCTGTCAGCTCAACAGCAGGAGCAAAGCGGGAGACATCTGTGGCATTCCTTGGACCAGCCAGATCCAGCCTTTTTTGGGGCACAAAAGGAGTTTTGCTTCATTCATCATACCTGGAAATACCAGATTTTCACAAAAAAAATAATGCACGAGTGAATACCTTCCTGCAGCACAGCCACCTGCTTGGGAAAGCTTCTGCATCTTTTCCCTGCTGAATAGCTCATGTTGCCTGAGCTTTGGATGGGTCGAAGTGGGTACTGCAGGGGGAAGTGCATGGGGAGGAGGAACTGGCCTTTAGAGACAGGCAAACCTGTACCCACCTTTCAGACAGGACCTGAGGCCACTCCTGTGAACTCTCTTCTATATTAAGTTGTCTCAACAGGACTCTTGTTGAAAGAAAGGAAGCAGAGGAAACTAGAGAAAGACAAGGGAAGCATAAAAGAATGGCATTCTAATGATTCTCAGCAAGAAAAACTTTCAGCAGACTACGCACAGGCTTCTCTGTATGTAGTGAAAGAAATTCTCAAATCCAGGGCCATAAATGTAGTTTAAGGTGATTTGTGTGTTTGTGTGTGTGGTTTTGTTGTTGTTGTGGGGTTTTTTTGTTTGTTTGTTTTTTTAAGGACAGCTTAGACAATGATGCTGAGAGGAGGAGTCCTGCTCCTTCCCAAAGGCTTTGGTCCTTGCCATTGCTGGAGACACCTTTTGGAAGGATTTGCTGGATCATTGGTTTGGATTAGCAGAGGCAGAAGGAAAAGAGCCATGTAATGGAAAAGGCGTGAAGTACTGAGTAACATTTTTGCAAGGAGTAACCCTCTGCTGCTAGCAGAATCCCCTCAGCTGGCAACAACTGCAAGAGGAAAACCCCTGTGCTGCCTCTGAGCTGCCAGCTTGAGCTTGAGCTATGGAAAAGGAAGAAGCAGCTCTGGAGAGATGAGGAGAACCTTCTGCTGGAGATGGGGACAAACTGAAAGGCCCCATGAGACCTCCTAAAGGGTATTGCCAAGTTCCTGAATACACAAACTAGCTCAGATTGACACATCAGCAAATAGGGAGAGACAGAAAGGAGAACCGCACTTGAAGAAAACTTTTTAAGGTGTTCAGGGCTAAGAAGGCTCAGAAGAGATCAAATCTCTCTAAGGAGCTGTGTTTACCAGCTGATATTTAGCTCAGCTTCTCCTTCTGCGTCCTTTAGAAACTGAAGATCAACAGTGGCAAGTAAGCATACATGGCCAAGTACACGTTGAACTTAGAAGCAGATGAGAGGACCATTGGAAACACCTGTTCAGACAACAGCTCTCCAAGAGGAGCAAAGCAGAGCAGAAGAGACAGCTACCTCTTACATGGAGCTTGGTGTAGCTCAGTGAGGAAGTGCTGATGGAGACTGGCTGCTCCTCAGCCTGGGGTCCTGCCATGCGGGGCCATGGCACACACAGCTTGCTCTGAATGGCTCAGAAATTCAGAGCAGCTCAGTGGCACCTTCTGGCCCTATAGGAAATCCCTAAGAGGAAGAAATACTGTTTCATTTCTGTTTTGTTCCACTGCAATGCAAATATTTCACTTCCAGTCAGTTGTTCTCAGACCATAACCATAAACCCTGCTTATCTACTACAGACAATCCAGCAAGACACTTGAGAATGTGCTAATCTTTACACCTAGGAATAATAAACATCAATTAACATATCCACCTCCCTGAGGACAGACAGCTGGCAAACCAGGGCCTGCTGGCTTCCACTAAGGACCACCAAAAGGACTTATTTTCCAGCTCCTTGAGCCAAGTCAATAACATGTAAGACGCACCACAAAACTGTTTGTTCTCTTTGTTTCACTTGAAAGGGAAAAGAGATGAGGCTTTGCTCTTCAGCCATGGCTGGGACAGCCCTGAGAGCTGTTCAGTGAGACCAGAGCAGCTTCAAGACCCATGCCAAGACATGCAAGAGCAAGGCTGCAGACACAGAGCACATTCAACCTTAGTGGACACCAGGCACTTCCAGGCGGAGTTGATTCCAACCCGTTCCAGGTTTCGAGCTGATGCAATGCTTTGTTCGGTCTGGATTTATTTATCAAATCCAAGAGTGCATCTCCTCAGTGCCATGCTCATTATGATGCTAGGTGAAGGGCAGAGGTTGCTCTCTGCACCAGGGGATGGTTTTCCATCTCTCAGTGGTAATTTTCCACTTGCAGCCATTCTCTTTGATTAGCTGATTTGATTCTCTTTGATTAGCAGCAGATTTGATGTACAACCTGATCCTGCAGCTCCTCTGCATCTCGCTGAGGACAGCACTCAGACTCATCAAGCAAACTCTTTATAGCCTGTATTTAGACAGGCTATATTTTAACACAAGGAAATTGAAAGAAAATGTGTCTTCAGCATAGCAATAGATAACGTGTAGGTTGGATTTTCTTGCTGTATGATCACTCCCACTGGGACCTTTGTATGAGCAGCCTCCACTAGAGAAGTTCACCTTGCACTGCATGCGACCCTCTAGCTACTTTTTGTTGTGCAAAATAATAGCTTTCTTTTGGTTATATAGAGCCAATCCTTAAAACTATATCCAGTCCATAATGTTACTGGATAGCCAACACTGTTCATCACAGAAGGAACAGGACTGGAGTCTCAGTGTATGTTTGGATGCAGTGTTTTAGGCACTAGATGTCAGTGTTTTACCTACACTTACAGAAATCTCCAGTCACAGTGAAAGACCTACCCATAAATAAACCAGTGCATAAGAACGTAACTCTCTGGCCACACTGAAACCACAGCCAGCTCTTCTTCTCTCAATTGGACAGAAGGTTTCCAAAATAAAACAATCCTTCTCCTCCTGCAGTTTCTTTCTTTTGCATGGAAACAATAGTTTAAAGAAAAGAAACAGCCCCCCCCCAAAAAAAGGCATGACTCCAAATGTATCTTACTTCCACCTCAGGCAGTACCTGCCAGCATCAGCTAGATTTAAACAACAGCACACATTTGCTAAGAGCTGCATTAACAGATCTATCCAACAACTTTTAATGTAAATAACAAAATATTAACTAAAAGAGAATAGGCATTATGTTAAAGTTTTAAGTTGGCTAAACAAGGTGGATATATGTTTTCAGTAGCAAAAATTTTGCGTGAAGGAATTTTGTGAAGGTCCTCAACTGCTTTTGAAGTCAGATAAGAATAGAAGGTTCAAAAGAAAAACTAAAAGATTGCTCAAAGAAAAGTCAACTGATCAACACTTTGACCCAAATATATTGCAGCCCATCTTTATCTCACTACCAAATGAGCACCGCATTACTTGGTTTAAAATACAGCCCTATATCTTCTCCTTGTGCACACAGAGTCTGCCTGTGCATGCCAGTTTCAAACTGGGGAAAGGATGGGGGGGAAGACTGAGCATTTGCAAGCCTTTTTGCTCCTGTCTCAACACAAAGAAAAATATTCCAGCATCATCAAACTCACACCATTCACTTTAAAGCTAAGGACTCCTCACAGTACTAACTAATACACCAGCACATCTGCCACCAAGGTGATCCTGTATATGGTTGCCTTGTTCTAGTTGAAGTCACATCCTCCTGAAATCAAAATTCTCATTTTCTGAAGATCTCTGAAGTGAATTTTGGAGCTAATTGCCATGCTGATGCATTAGGCTCAATATGCAATGTCAAGCACGTGGCACCAGCATTCAGGAGCAGCACATGGGCCTCGGGGGAAAGGCAAGGAAATACCTTTGCTGCAGAAAGATCAGTGCTAATTTTGTTATGTCACTACTCATAAACAAAGAGCTGCACAGGTCATACAGATTCCAGGCAAGTACAGAAAAGTGAGAAACTTTACTGAGAGGATAGGGATAGACTCACATTTGAAATTGAATCCAAGGCTAAGCCACCCTCTAGAAGAACACATCAAGGGCCTTTGCACTTTAGAGGTAGATGGTAATGATACGACCAAGATCAATGCTACACTTACGGCTTATCTTTAGACAAAGCCAGGCAAAAAGAAAAAAAAAATAAAAATCCAATTTTCTGCTCTACTTCCTAGAGAATAAAAAGAATCCCCTATCAGTGACCATCTAATGATCCATCCCATCTCAAACGCTGGAAACTCATTAGTGTTCCTCCAGCCTCACGAATCCAGGCCTTGAACCAGTGCAGTATGTACAAGTCCCAGCCAACCCAATCACTGTGCTACGTTCTATCCCTGCACACACTGGGGAGGATGGGCATCCATCACTGACACTTAGCAGAGGGCTTTTTGGAGAGCTTTTGATTTCAGAAGCTTTGGACACAACAAAGAAGTCTCTCCACAGAGGAGCACCCCCAGAAGCATGTGGTATTGGTGTGCTGGGAGCCCCTGCTCTCACAGTGAGGGGCTGTGGATTGCACCTGGATGGCTTTTGCTCTGTGGTTTTAGCAGCAGCTCAAAGGGTCCACAGTGGTTCAGGTTTGAAGGAATGAAAACACGAATTGACATTTTGACTTGTTTGTTGTCTGGAAGCAATAAATCAAGTGATCCACCATAAATCAGCTTTATATTGCAGGACAAAATATCAATTTGCTTTGGTGAAATCCATTCTGTTTAAAAAGTCTAGTCAGCTCACCGAGAGAGAAAAAAGGGCCAGAAGACAGATGCTGCAGGACTTCAGCAATCCACAGGGAGTTTATTTTCACAGTGTGCTGGGAATGCTTGTCAGCACCTTGCCTCTGGATTGCTGCGGCCACAACTCCCACTGACATCAAAAACACAAAATCTGAACAAAGCACAACTGAAGGAAAGCTGTGACCACGTCAGATTTTTTTTAAAACAAAGCACTCAAGCCTCCAAAATCTTATGAATAAGCCATCAGTTGGGCACATTTAGCTTTGCAGGCAGTGCAGAACTAATCTGCGGATTGCTTGCTTGACATAAGCTTTTCCTTATAGGCAGGTTAGCTTGCATGGGATCAAATTGCTTGAGAGCCCTCAGCCATCCCACTACTGCATAAAGACATTGTTCACAGAAACATCTCCCAGTCAGGAGACCACTAAAGCACGGAAGAAGCACAGGCTATTAAGGTCTCTGTATAGAGCAGCAGGTGAAAATCAGTATTTCTCTGTGCAATTCCGACTGTTCCGGTGTAAAAACATATATAGATCATCCCCAGGATTCCAATCTCCTCCTTTGTGAGAGGTGCTTAAGATTCAGTTGCAGCAAACAGAAAGTGTTTGTGCTCATGTCCAGTCCCTGGGAAATCAGTGATGATTTTGTCATTGATTTCAATTAGAGAACAATTACTGCAGTACTCAATGGGCTGGTTGTGCAACAGGTTCTTCAATCATTTTATACATGGCCATTAACAGCTGTAATTTCTGCACTTTTGCAAGTGTTTATGTTTATATTTTAACTCATAAGGCTCTCCCTCTTTTTATCATGTTCAACAGTGTCTCTATTTCACTTTTTCTGATAAGGGCCACTTTCCACATAGCCATAGAAAATTAACACTGGATGAGCAACCAGTTTTTCTTCCACATAATAGTAAAGCAATGCATTCTCATGTCATTATATATTCCTACTGAAGAAACCCTACTAAGACCACAGATAGGACCACAGAGGTAGAGGAAGCTGACTCGGGAGAGACTGATGAGGGCTTAAAATGGGACAACAGATAAGGCTGAACTAAAAACCAGTGTTCTGAAAATAGCTCAGAAGATATTCAGATGGCCCTCTGACTTGTCTGCATTTACCTGCTGTAGTGCTTTCAGTGCCTTCACTTGTTTTGAGTTATTTGGGACCCTGGGACGAGGGATCTCACATGAAGTCTCCAGCAGAGGAGAAAAAGCCTGAAGAAAACTGTCTCATTGGCACCAGCTCTTGAAGAGTTTCAGTTCCCCAGATTCAAACCATTATTCTGGAGGATATTTCCATACTTACATCCACACCTCCTGGAAGGATACACATACACCGCTGCCTCCATTGAACCACTGCAATACACTTTCCCTTTCATTATCAGGCACCTGCAAATACAAAGTTTTCTTGCAAACACGTGCATAGATGTCACTCTGAAAAGATACTCTTCATGCATTAAGCAATTCCTTTCTTCTTAGTCTGGCAACCACCATGCACTGCAGCTTATTCTAGAACTACAGCCAAGTATGCTTGCTTGGCTGTTGCTCATTTCACCTATGGTATGGCACTTTTAGGCAATTGAATAATATGCAGACAGTAATTACAGAGCCCAGGGAGACCTGTTTTGTACTGGAGCTCGAAGGGGGGCTTTGCAGCACAGACTGTTATCAGCTGGTTGCATCCTGTACTGCATTCCTAGGGCTGGCAATGGAAACGTGTAACCTGTGGGGATGCATATTCCAAAGCACAACCAAGTTAAGTCGCCAGTTCACCAAAGTAAGCTTTTTTCTCCCTTTTCCCACTTAATTCATGTGTTTCCTGTATACCTATCACTTTCCCATGTATGATCTGGGTGTGGAATTATGCTGTGAATGCTTTGTCTGAATACATGTTGACTTTGTGTTCAGTTGCAAACTGACTGCGAGAGCCTGAGATTTCACTGTTGAATGGGTTGGGTGAGTTGGAGGAGCCAGATCACTGTTTTATAACTCATTCAGTATCAGACCTTCAAAAATTCATTTTGTCAGCTACATTTTAAGACTTCCTGACGCAGAAAGTCTCTGTCTCTTCTGACTTCTGTCTCTGAAGTAATTGTGTTAGGACAAATTTTCAACAGTTTGTATGGGACAGAACAAGGATGCAGACACAGAAGTCTGGTCAGTATTTGCCAAAATATTGCCCCATTCCCACTTCTCTGCACCCTAAGCAGTCAGAAACTCAGCCACCTAGCTTTCCTTCCTAAGAACTAAAATCGACTTCTTACATAGCACTGCACTGTCACCAATCTGCTATCAACTGTCCTCGTAGAGCTACACCTCAGATTCTTGTTGGGAAATATTTCCTGTTCTCTTGCATGGGCAACCCTTTGATGTGGTTTGGTCAGTCATAGCAGGCTATACAGTGAACTACAGTTAATTTTGAAGAAAACAAAATGGATAATTTCACACCCCGTTAAACTAATAATTTCTTTCTGCATTACTGGACTTGGGCAATATTGTTTTCATCCCAGCTCAGCCTTCTACAGCCTCATAGCCATTACTGTGGAGCAGCCTTAATTAAATACAAACATTTTCCTCATCAAAACACTGTCTAAGGAATGTCAGACCTTGTCTCCTCAGATGCCATACGGGGCCCATTATGTTATCTAAACACTTCCAGAAAGCATTGCAAGGCATCGCAAATCACAGCATTACAAACAGGCACTCAAGGTGCTCTCATCTGTGTGTTCCCAGCCCCTTTAGTTGCCCCGCCAGGATGTATCTGTAGGGGTAGCCATAGGTCCATCCCTCTCAAACAGCAGCACCACAGCATGCCATTTCCAATCACCCTTTCAGGCTGACTAGAAACAGAAGAGAAATCCAAATCCCCGTGATATAAGAAGAGCAGCCTTGTAGGAGTTGAGATGTCATCTCTTTCACAGCTGTGCCTTTGGAGTTGCTGGGGATGCCAGATCCCCATCAGGCTGTCCTCTTCTGCTAAAGGTGCAAGCAATTTAAACCACGTAAGTAGCAATCAGCTGCCCCAGCTTGGAGCCATGAGTGTCTCTCCATCAGGTAACTGCCCTGAAACATTTGTGCAAGGCCTCTAGGGAAGTGGCAGAGAAAATTTAGGGGTCTCGGTCCCAGGAAAATTAACTCATTCATTCTGTTTGCCAGAACCATGCAGTCTGAAGGTGGTCTTCCATAAATCTTGTGAACTGCTATGAATCAGCTGATGTCAGCAAATACAACCATTGTTCAGAGCTTGGCCTTCCCTCCCGGACACATGCTGGGCCTCAAACTGTGCCACAAATCTCTTTACACTCAGTTGGAAAATGGGAACAAGTTTTTAAAAAGGAAGTTTGCAGTTTCTTCCACGGTTACCCCTTTCATTTTATACAAACCATTTAAGACATTAAATGAGAACAAACATCACATGCCCTAAGTCCAAAAGCAGTTCCAATAGCAGTTTCTATTAAACACTGATGGCTCCCATGCCAAAAACATGAAACTCCCATGCCAAAAGGCAGATGCCAGCATTTTGCCACATCACACTGAGCCTTGCTCACTTACGTTCTCTCATTGTAAGACAGGTGTGTTGTAGGTGCTTGTGTATAGACTTGGGTCCCTCACTGTGTTTATTCTCCTGCCATGGCCACTTAAGGAGCTCCAACACACTGCAACACACCGGGGAAGAGCCACCTTCTCCCAACACCTTGCCACCACCCCAGAAAGTTCCTCTTCTTGTTAGAAAGCTTTTCTCTGTCCTTCCACATTGTGTTTTCCTTCCTCCGACAAGATATCTGTGTAGGCTTGCATGACTCACCTCTTTGTGCTCAGCCAGAATTTCACATCTGAATCCCAGTAGTTAACTGCCATGAAGAAGTGATGGTTTCCATTGAAGTTCAGCAAATCAGTTGGCATTAAGTTTCCACTGCACATTATTGTTTTCTTGTATGTCACAGGAAAGCAACAGCTTCTGTTTGGACTTGGAAGAGTTTTGAGGTGCAGGACAAGCTGCCATCTGTCACACACCAAGAAAATGTAGCAGAACATTGGTGGGAAAGTTCAACCTTTACGGCCACATCACCAACATCCATCCCTGACTTCATGGGCCAAAGTAATAAAATAGGAGGCAGTACTTTCAGAGCAGCAACTGTACTTCACCCATCCATGGTAACTGGAAAAACTCCTAAATTATTGCTCAGATGTCTCAGAAAGATAGCACAGTCCATCTTGACTTCAAGTTCTGAGGTAACAGCCCCCTGTAAGCTCTGATAGGCTTCCAGTAATCAAATACTTGCCCTTAGGTTCTCCATTCTCCATATTTATCCTCCACGTTTGTCTAGCAGCTGAGAGAAATAGACTATTGTTGAGCATTATTTAACACGGTGCAAAATAACTTAGTGCTCTATCAATAATAAGATTACTTCTTACCAAGGACCCCGTGTAAAACTCCTGTGACACTCACTGTTATCCCTAAGAGATGTTCATTTCACTCGTTATCCCGCATTCAAAAATATGGATCATTTTAAATACCCATGTATACCTTGTGTGCATAATTTTTCATGATTTTAATAGGATTTCTCCTCCTCTGTGAAGCACCATGAAATGTAATATTTTCCTCAGAATGGGCCGTGAAATGTGTCTACCTTATCAGCAATTGGTATAGAACTCACTCTGGATTGTCTGACTCACTGCATGCCTCCCTCCCACATTCAGTCTATTGGGCTGCTATTAGAAGACACACTGTCTAGCCTATTTTATTTTATTTTTTAATGATAGTTGTAGTCTCAAAGGGATACGTGGCATTTTATTGCAAATGCACGTTTCTGTTTCTTTCCTAGAGCTTAAGGAAGAACAAAATGCCCAATTATCTCTGCTGGAGTGACTTGAGTCTTCAAGCACACAGCTATGATAACCTGATGTCTAGAAGCCTCACATGCAGCTCAAGATCCTGATGCAATTCTGAGGGGAAAAAAGTCCCTGCCCAACAACCACATCGGTGTCTGAGACCAGGAGCAATGCCAGGAGCACCAGTGAGCTATAAGTAGGAGATATGTCCTGCAGAGAAGATCCTCGGTATGAAAAACACCAGGTTATCCATGGATTTGAGGTGTGTTCATCTGAAGGAGCGACCTCCAGGAAAAAAGAAGTGTGTTCTGATTGCCCCAGACTGCAATTTAGTCTTGTATCTGCGAGTTTCAGGTTTTGTTCCAGTACATAATGGTTCAGTGGAATGCTTCCCAGCAGTCCTGCAATGCACACTCCTTAATAACAGAGAGATCATTTATTGGAGAGAATGAACATATTCTTGCATAAGTCTCTTTTGTATAAGAAGTTTCAAGGATATGAAAGCAGCAATTATCCTCACCTTGGCTAATACAATTAAGAAATTCTAAAGTACTGAGAAAACTCTGGTGCAGTTAGACTTTGAAAATTGTCTAACTATGAGTTGTTGTTTGCCAGTGAGCTATAGTTAGGTCAAATTAAGTCTGAGGTGCAGGGAATGATCGGAAGGCAGTCAAAGGCTGTGGGCTGGGCTTTCCACTGCAGTCTGTCCTGAAGCAGGACCCAAACCCTCCGCCAGCCACCACCAGGAGCTACAGGCACTCGTGAGTTTTCAGGGTACTGATCACGTTTTTCTGCAAACTTAAGCAGAAACATTACATTTTTAGTGATGACCGTAAAACTAATTCTACTCCCAGTTCAAAGCAGAAATGCCTTTGGTATCAGGAACAATGCTGCTTCACTAAAACCTCTCTTGCTGACTCCAACTTCTGTGAAAGAGGTAGGTTGGTGCATACAATGGGGCACAATTCAAATAATTTGTCTTTGATAGCAGAAAGAAAAAAAAATACAGCAGGATTATTACTGCTTCGATATCATCAGAAATAAACAAAGCAATCATGGATTGGCACTGCAATGAATTTAACAGAGCAGAAGGCATGGGTCATGGAAGAACATAGGCACAAGCATGCATCCTGAAATCAGTCCATAACAAGTGGAAAACGCAACTTGAAGAAGAAGAGGGCATATAGAAATCCTTACATGACTGCTACTGAGGGAAAGGAAATGACTTATTTGAGGTGCTTGCAAGTGGTAGAAGGAGAGGCTTATTTTGCATTAGCAAGTAGATGTCTAACGATGAGAAGGAAGCAGCCCTGTGTGGCTGAGGATGCTGATGAACCTTCATCAGATCTGCCTTGGGTAGATTCTGCTTTCTGGCTTATTTTGCCTCAGCAGAGAAGGAGGGTGTTGCTCTGAACAGGACTGAGACTTCAGTGCCCTTGATCTCCAAAGCACAGGAATAAAACACACAGTTTCAAGACCTTTGAATAAGAATTGGTATCTACTGTTTAGAACAAATAGTATTTCCAATTCATTTTGAAAGACAATTAAGTGAAAAATAGGATGAGCTCTATCTTCCTATTGGCTTAGTCATACTCGACTGCTTTGGTTACAGTATGCACATAATTTCAGATTTTGTTTGGGAGGGTAATGAATGCAAAGCTCACCACACTTGCTTAGATCTGCTGCTGGCAGAACCCAGTGAGGGGACGCTCCTGACAGCCTCATGAAAGCCACCCTTCCACCCACTGCAAGGTTTGCCTGTATGCATGTGCTGATCTGATGCTAATACAAAGTGATTTTTCAATGGAGAACTGGATAATACAATGTGGGGATAGCACCCCAGCCTTTGGGATCCAAGTGCTGAGAGCAGCTTACATTACACTCATTTCCCCAGCTCCCAGTTATCTTGGTGCTAAGATAACTTGTGAAGAACATTACGTTATCATTAGCAAGAGAGAGACCCAAGAGATCCAAGTGTTTGTCCTGGATAATCTCCCTCCTTATTAACAGCAGACTAATGCAGGCATAAGTGATTCACCTGTAGTTAAATGGGTAAAAGCTTTAATTTACAACAAGGGATTTATCTGGGAAGGAAGGAAAATAATTTCACGCCTCATTGTTTTTCCATGATCCCATTACACCAGGGGATGACGCTTCCATTATATCACTCAAATATGAGATAAGCATACCTCACCAAGGTCTGCTTTCTTTCTCTACTATGCTGGAACATGCAAGTAGTTGGAGACAGGAGGGCCTGGACGCTTGATACGTCTTAAGCATGCAGAAATGCCTTTGCATCTGAGCAAAGGAATGTCCTGGGGAAGCAGGAGATGGGAGGAGGCACAGTGTCCATCAGTCGTGTGAGCCAGCACAAGCTGTGCAGAAGGCAAAGAAGAGGCCCTCGAGTAGCCTGAGGACTCCCCATTTGCTGAGCATCACAGGTTTGGTGCAGGGCAGAGGTGTCAGAGCTTTTCACAGGAGAGGTCATCGAGATCCTTTTATAAGAGGCAATAAGCACTAAGAGGTTTCCAGCAGGCTTTCTCCTCTTGTGCAGTTATATAGTTCAGCAACTGAACTGAAGTGAGAAGCCTGTCCCATGAGCAGCAAACTCACTGAAATCTAATTTTCTCTCTTTTTGTGCATATCTGAACTCAGTGGAAGATAAGAAAAGGGTGAATCCATGCTAGGAGCCTGCTCATCCCTAGGGACCCTCAGTACAGAGCATTGCTGCCATACTCCTAAGGCCTGGGGAAAGCACAGGATTTGGCTGAAATCACAGAATTGTAGGGGTTGGAAAGGACATCTAGAGATCATCAAGACAACAAGTTCCAGCCTCCCCAGGCTGCACGAGGACACAAAACTTCTGTTTACTGAAATCTTAGCACCAGGAATTGCCCAAATATTGCAGCTCCTTTGTACAAGCTGAAGAATATTATTTTATTATGGTAATGCAGCATCATTTTCTGTACTGATCAGCAGAAAATGTAGTACCTTAAAATCTATTTTAAGAGATTAAAAATTCCACAAGGTGTCAAGCAGCTTGACATTCAAATTATCAGCAAGATGAACAATACTGAACCCCTAAAATAGCTCATGAGCCTCAACAAGTTTTTTTTCCACTATGTCCAGATAGGCATCCTTGACAAGCATGACACCCCACCTCATTGCATTTTAGTCCACAGTGTGGGTATTGTGAACAGCCTCAAACTCTTTGGGGTGTGAGGGCCATTTCCATCATGAATCACTGTTTACTGAGTCACCAGCAGCTGGGCTTTCTGTCTGAAAGGATTAAGAGCAAGGAGACAGTGAGGCTCACCTTTGAGTTACTATGCTTCCCCATGTGATCCAAGCCAGCTCTCGTGGAGGCAGCATCCTCTTGAAAACCACGGGATGGCACTGCAGCTATTGCTCTCCTCTTTCACCTTTGAAAAAGTTTATAAACCAGGTTAAGTTTTTTGGGAGATTTTCTGCTAAGTTTCAGACAGAATTGAGAAATTCTGCCATAATGCTGCAGATTGCTGGCAACTGAACATCCCCCCAGACAAGTGCAGTTGTGTCGCATTTCTGATACAGTCTTTTGCCAACACTGAATCCCAGACCTCCACAGTTTCCTTGAGACTTTTTGTTTTTAATGAGGCAATATTATTTAACCTACCTGAAGTCAACAAACTCTCAGGCTTTATTTCCAATTGGATCAGGCTGGAAAGAGAGAAGCAGACTAAAACATGCAGCTGGCTTCACCACCTGCTGCCAATTTTGGGAATTTCTTCAAAGTGGATGAAGGGTCAGAGGAAAAACCTTGTAAGTTCCCATCTCATTTATCAGGGTACCTCTTCCTGATCATTTGTACAAAACGTGGGAGGGATTGATGGTCTGCAACAGCCCATCAGCGTGGCCTGGGGGGTGAGCACAGTTCAACCTGCCTTGCTCTTGCACTGAGTGATCTTCTGTTCTTGTCTCTGCAGGCTGGGGAGTGACCTGCTCTCTCAGGCAGCCAAAGGCCTGAGCCCCAGCAGCCTTCCAACAGTCTGCACAGGGGGAGGCCTGTTGGTGGGAGCTCTGCTAGAACACCTGAGCCCTATGAATTAACTGTAATTTGCAAGTCTTTAGAACAGCACAGGAGAGAACAAGACTTTCAGAAGCACCTGGGGCTGTTCGGAACAAGATCTCATTGACTTTCAACAGCGATTTCTTCTGCTACATGCCGTAGGTGCACAGAGGTAAAGCAGGTGCAAAGGTTGGGCAGGCGCTCAGCCTGCTCATGATTACCTTAAGCTAAGCAGGCTGATGCAGCAGGGCCTCAGCAAAGCCCTTCCTTTATTTCTGATCTATTTCAGAGCATGACCTTGGCCTTGCAAGTTCTGCTCTGAAGTACAAAGACTCAAAGAGAAACAGCTGCCAGCACTCTGCTGTGGTTCCCAGACATGCTGATTTTGCAGGAGTTCAGTATAAAAATGGTCGTAACTCAACTTATGTTGAAGCTACAGTACATTCAGAAGAACATTCTGCTTCTTGGGCCGGGCTGGCACTTCGAATGGGCTGCTGTGGTGGGCACCAACTCAACATCCACTCTGACATTTTGAGTTCTGATCTCCAGAGGGCAAGTCTGGAGTGACTTTAAACTAAAGGGAGGAAGATTTAGATGAGATGTCAGGGGGAAGATTTTCACTTAGAGGGCAGTAAGGTGCTGGAATAGGTTGCCCAGAGAGCTTGTGGATGCCCCTGTCCCTGGAGGTGGCCAAAGCCAGGTTGGATGGAGCCCTGGGCAGCCTGAACTAGTGGCTGGCAACTCTGTCCATGGCAGGATTTGCATGGGCTCTGAGGCCCCTTCCAACCCAAGCCATGCTGTGATTATGACTTTAGCCTACAGCTCCCCTTCGGTCCTATAAAAGTGGGAAGAGATGGACACTACAGCCCTAGTTTGGAATGAAATGCTGCTTTGCATCTGGAGACATGTCTCTTCAGCCACTCTGAGCCTCCGATACACAACAGAATATTTGCACATACTACTTGCAAAAAGAAAACGAAACTTTACTTGCCTGATTATGTCTGCAGATATCTACAGATGGGTGGAGAACAGGTTTACCCAAAACGTGTCTGGAGAGAAAAGATCTCAGTGCTTTGTAGCAGCGACTTTAACTAAAAGCAAAGGTTCAGGGAGGTGCCAAACGAGGGCAGCGCCCGCGCGTGTGGCTGCTCTAGGCGCTTTGGGCGAGGGGGGGCTCCGACGAGCTCCCAGGCAGCACATGCAGCAGTAGCTGTGCATCGCCAGGTGTCGTTGCTGTGCCGCGTTTGTTCTCCGCTCGTCTTCGCTACCCTCGTAGGGAAACACCGGAGATGGGCTTTCCGGGTCCGGAGAGGACCAGCAAGAAAAGTCAAGGAATGAAAACGTAGCCCTCGCTGCTTGCTGTAAGGCAGATCCTGTGCTTGCACAGTACCCGTTGGGGAGGGTGGGAGAAGACTGCTCTTTCAGACACCAAACTGCTGATGGAGACTGCCAGAACTGGGGATAATTCTGGCTCTTCCACAGTACCTGGACTATCAGACCTGGTACAGGAGCTCAGCCCCATTCCCCAGCAATGAAGTCAGCTCACACCATGCATTCCCCATTGCTGCCCACCAGTTTCTGCTCAACAGAAGACAAGCAAGCTGCGTTTGGCAGCACCTTGCTCAACATGAACTCTTTCTGGGATTAAGTGCCCTGGTGTAAATTCAGACAGGTCTGGCAACCCATGCAGGGTGATGTGGGGTCTGCAGGCTGTTTGGCACCGATGGTCCCATTGAAATCCACCTCCACAACCAAACCCGCACTGCTGAAACTTTCACAGATCTGCCAGTGGTTGGGTATCTATTGCTCAGATTGATGTTTTTCCCTCTGTGGCATTCATTCCAGAGCTTCTTTGTGAGAGGCACCTGGCAGATGGCATTGGGTACTTTTAAAACAACTCGTGCAGCAGCTACACTAAAGCTCAGCAAGAATTATTTCATAAAATAGCTTTCAAATACAAAAAATCCTATTTTCACCTCAAACATCACTAGCTTTACTCAAGTTGGGCAAGTTTTTTTGTGTGGAGCCTCAGCCCTTAGCTCCAGCCTGAGGGCCATACAATTGCATTGGACTTCCACCAAAAATCACATCAAGAGGTTTTATTTTTTTTTTTAAATGCTTGTGGGGACTTCTAGGATATGGAATCTCCTTTAGGCTTCCAGCAGAGGGTTTGGTTGGTCTTTATGCGCTGCCTCAGAAAAATAAATTCAGGTGTACAGGAATCAGGATATTCCCTCAGCTATTGCAGGCACTTTTAGTGAGCTCTCCTTCCAAACCTTCAGCTCGCTCACCTGTAAATCTTGTTTATACCTGGTGAATTAAGTACTCTGAAACTTAACTACATTCGCTTGCTTTCTGGGTTCCCAGCTCCCTTTACACAGCAGGAGAAAGCTCCTTATCCTTCTCACTCCTCTGAACCTCCACTCAGAGGAAATAAGCAGCAATTCAGCATCTTTTTTTTCTTTTTTCTTTTTTTTTTTATTTTTACAATCCACCAACATCCTAGAGGCAGTTTATATCTTTGGTACCCTTGGGCAAATGGCATGAAATAAAACAGATTGTAATCCGATACATGGCCCAGCAGGATGAAAAAGCCACAGTCCCTTGCAGGTTCAGCATTGCATTGCTGGCGACAGCAGCCATCCCTGCAAGCTTTTTGGATATAAATGAGATTCTCTGGCTTGCTTTGCCAGAAGCAAGAATTTGGGACACAAAGCAGCTTCTGCACATCCAGCCAAGCTTGCCCAGTAGAAGGCGGGGAGTTGTGCGACTGTCCTGGAGGTGTTCTCTGAAAATCTCATGCCGAAATATGAAGTCATCCTGCAACATGTGTTGCTGTCCCCACATCAGAGGAGAGCACATTGTAAATACTGCCAATGCCTATTAAGGGGTTTTGCTTTACTGAAGCTGGCAAACAAATAAGCGTTTGAGAGCTGAACTAGCTCGGAGAGCTTTAGCCTTTGGATTACTTTCTAATGAACTCCCCATAGTCCAGCCATTTAATTTCATTAAATTGCCAAGATGGTGTCAGTTAAAGACTTGGGTCAAGAGGCATACTGCTGGTTTTTCACAGACCTCATCAGGAGAAAGTGTATTCCTGTGTTTAAATAGATACAGTTTTACAAACTCCTGCATCGTACAGTAGCCTACGTCAGTTTTTTTCCCTCTGCACATCACTAGAAAACTCAGCGGGAGTCACCTTCAGGCAGAAGAAAACATCATGTTTTGGGGTTTGTTTGTTTGCTTTTTTCTTTATTTTCTGCTTTTCTGGCCCTGCTTACCCAGAAGTATTCTCTCATCTCCAGTTACTCATATTTTCCTCCTCCCATCCCACTGCATGGACTTCAGCCCATCCAACACATCCCGTCCAACAAGGATATTGTTGCTGGATCTACACCTTGGTTCAAGGAGACACTCAACCCTTTGGCTCACACCAGGACCCTTCTCAATGTTTTGAAGAAAGGGTTTGGGCAATTTGGTCCATTAATTCAGTCCTTTGTGGGAGGTTTCAACACAGAGAGGAAAACCCACTCCCGGAGCACCTACCCCATTCCTCCCAGGGCAGAAGGACCTTCTACATGAGGCTGGACCCAAAGGCTGCCAAAGCTCTCTCTCTCACTACCCTTACAGGTTTTGGAATCAATCCATGCTAACCTGCGAGATCAGCAATCCTTCAACAACTGAGCAGAGTGAAATTTAATTTACAGAATGGATGACTGTCAGTGTTTGGCTGCACCCTAACGGGGCTGTGCAATGCCTCAGTTCTGGGCAGGATGCTGCCGCAGCACTGGCTTGCCTGGACTGGGTACATGGCCTCAAATCCACTTAGTAATGCTGATCTGTCTCTTTTTGCCTCTTGTGTAGGAATTTTCTCTTAAAATAGAGTCAGAGTGGCTGCTCTGGATCTCAGCAAGCTGCAGAAAGTTGCATTGCCTGCTTGTAACAATCTGCAGCAATCCTGACTCCCATTGGAGAGGGCAGAACCTGGGGGTTCTGAGGACATCAGTGAGGACATCAATCCCCTTCATCCTACCCTTAACACTCAGTCATTGCTGCAGATGTGGCCAGGATTTTCTCTCCAAGAAAGAGCATTGCAAGTGAAAACTAAGTCTAACCAAAAAATGCCCTCTAGAGTATTGCCACACATGTATATATAGTGAGCAGAAAGGCAGTGTGTTACAGTGTCCCAACACAGTAACAGAATCCCTAAAAGACAAAGATTAATCAAAGAAGTACAGGTGGGGAGTCCCTCATGCCTGATATTCATGCTGGATCTCATAGATCTCATACAAGTTTATCCATTTTATCAAGTAAATAACAAAGCCAGCATCAGCCTGATCCAACCACTCACCTACTCCAGCATGCTTTAGATCAAGTCCTTTCCATTAGCGCTGCAGATCCAGAAGGCTGAGTCAGACACCTAAGCTCTTTTGGTGCTTTAAGACATACACGTTGAAAGGCAACTTCATCTCCTAAGCTGAGAAAGGGGAGAAGAAAGGAAGGAGCCTCTATTCCGATGTGCAGCAGCAATCTTAGCTTCATTGACAAGACAAAACAAACATCTAAATTCACAGTAGACATTTCTATTAATCCGGACAGGGCTTGATTTAGGTTAGGAAGCTTCAAATAACAGTTTGCAAGTGTTAATCTTGCTCTGAACAGTTATTTCTGTACAGAGTGCCATGAATTGTGGAAATACAGACAAAATAAAGGACGGTCAAGAATGAATTGCTGCAAGATAGAGTGTGCTTTTTGCAAAGATACACTCTGGTTTGGCCACAAGATCCAGGAATAATGCTTCATGTCCTGTGCTGTGCAAGGAGTTGAGCACAGTGTTCCCTTCTGTCCCAGCAAGATGCAATCTTCACACAGCCCCACACCTATCAGTAGCAGGAGAAGCCCTGAACATCCCGCACTGTTTCTCAGATGTGGATTTTACTCTTACAATTACAAATTCAGTGCAAAAAAAAATGGAAATAAAAGTTTAAAAGGTCAGACTTATCAGTAGTTCAGTATGAAATTACCTTTGAATTGCACTCTGGTACATGTCAGTATCATTTCTTCTTCACATCTTTGAAATATTCCCATTAAAGCCTTCTCTGGTGTGAGTATGCAGTGTCTGAGTACCACCATGCTGCATGCACACTCTGTTGGGATGGAAAAAAATTATCAACACTCTTGCATAAGTCCTACTCCTCCTGTGTCCAGTAGGTTTTAAAAAGGAGGAGTTCAGAGAGTTCAGACAGAGATTATTCAGACCTGGAGAGATTTCCATGCAGAGCTAAAGGTTTGATCACTTTTACTAACTCAGAGAAGAGATTAATAGCTTGAGAGCAATACGACAGTGATCAGTGCAGAGCATCTTGGCAATGTGCATCAAAAGAAAAAATACATGCTGTGCTTTTTTTCTCTCTTTTTTTTCCCTTTTCCCATTTTTGGGGGGTGAGCATCCTGCATGTCCAGCATCTCAGGGTGCTCAGCACTGCTGTTTGGTGATGGGCTGAGGGGCAGCAGCTGGAGATGCTCCAATGATAAACTGGCTCAGGCTCTTCCTCTACAGCATCCAGTAGTTCTGGTCATTCAAGACTGGACAGCAGACTAGATCAACCTTTAGCGTGGGCTAATCTCAGCTGCTCTTAATGTTCTTAAATGCCCATGTCAAGGAGGAAAAAGCAGAGCTTCACCAGGACAATTTAAGAGAGCTACTGAAACAAGTCTAGCAGGGATAAGCAGATCTCCCCTTGACACAAGCCTACAGCGTAAGCAATTTCTACAGGGAAGTATGCAAAGTCCCCAGTCCATTGTTCACCAACCTGGGAAGGATTTAGTTCATTAAAAATAGTTAATGGGATGTTAATGGCACTTAATTGAATGCATTGTGCTGGTTTTGCAGTGATTTTTTTTCCCCCTCGATTCACAAAGATGGGATTAAGTGCTAATGTATTGCAGGCTGCTGAAACGTATTACCTGTGGTCATGATTTTAAACACATGTAAAGGTGCTAATTGCATTCAGTTGACACAACTGTAGATGGGAAGATCATTTTTCGCACCTTATCAGCACTGGTGAGGCGCTAACTGCATTCAGAAGACACCACTGCTGTTACAAAGGTAGTTTCTTGCACTTCATCAGAGCTTAACACATGCTTAGCAATGCGGCTAGCCAAAAATGTACTATCAGAGTTAATGAGGTGCTTGAGCGTTATTAACAAATGGAAATCGGGGGGGGGGGGGGGGGGAGAACACTTTTTTTTTTCCTTCTTTTTAAGAAAGAGTAACAAATTCTTGCAGGTGCCACATGTCTGGAGTTGGTGGTTGCCTACTTTGGTGCAGTTTCTGAGTGTGCTGCTAGTGGTTTCCAGTGGCTGCCTGCCAACGGCGATCAGGTGCGATTATCCAGAGTCCTGCAGCAGAGCAGGTGGGATGGCATCTCTCCAATTTCTGAAACAACAAGGGCAAAGGCTGACATCAAAAAGAACTCTGGGACTTTTCTGAACCTCAGCAAAGGTTCAGGCGAGACTAAGGTCCGAGTAGCACACTTTGGTGAACGCTCTTCTCTTGCAGCTCTCCCCCGTGTAGTTGCTACCATGCCCACTGGGATCCCAGGCAGCCAGCCTGGCACTAGAACAAGGCTTATGCTTCTCTTGTAATTTGAGGCAGGGCAACATGCACACCCTCTGGGTTTTACTTAGGCAAACCATGAGTATTTCATAGTCTCCGATATCTGTAGCAATATAGCCCACTCTCTATCACCTCTTGTTCTTTTGCACTAGCATCTCTAACATCTCTCTAAGAAATGTTGCTGGTGAAAAAGCACAAGCTTGGTTTGTGAGGTCATCAAAGGCTGTTTTGATATCACAACTCGCCACTTGGTGCAAATTCAACTTATTTTGTTATGCTGTGGCACCCATTACTGATTATCCTGCTGCCCTCCTATGCTTTGAAGGTCATAGAACCGTTTGAGTTGAGAAGAGACCTTTAAATGTCATCCAACACTCCTGCAATGAACAGAGACTTCTCCAGCTAGGTCAGGTACTCAGAGCCCTGTCCAGCCTCACCTTGAAGGTACCCTTCTGCCTGTGATCACTGACTGGAACTCCTGTTCACCTGGGGCAATATGCTGAGGTCATTAGGCTGTCCTGGGTCATGTGGACTGACAGCAGATGCCCCCAGCCCCATGGGGGAGGACTGGTCTCAGGCAAAAATTCCTGCTAAGTCTTTCTGCTCTAAATAAAGAAGCCTGTGATAAACCAGTATCTTCTGCTGGAAATAAAGCTAGCTGGTGGAAGAGCATCCAAAGGTTCCTCTGGCACAGGATGACCAGTGACTTCTTGCTTCCCTACGTCCAAAGAGCACAGGCAATCAGGTTCCACAGCTTGCATCATCTCTCAGATTAATGTCAGGTTACACAGAGGAGCAAGCAGTGATAAATGATTATTTAGCTTTCACAGATAAAAGACCACATACCACACTTCTGTCTCACAGTCAGGTTTGGAGCAAAGGGATGCACTTGTGCTTGCAGGAAGATGAAGGCTGTGCTATCAGCTGTGCTAGCAGAGCGGAGCACGCTGCACAGCCAAAGCATGCCCACTCAGAGTGCTGAGGGTTAGTGTTTGTGTATGTCCTGAGATGACCTTCCTGCACCTGCCAGGCTCAGTGGTTTTACAGTAGTGCTGCTGAGCATCAGCCACCTAGCCAAAGCACGGCCCAATGGTCAACTCCAGCTGCAGCCACAGCAATGAGCACAGGGGAGACATACCCACAGTAGAGTCACTGGCTTCAAGAGAAAAGCAAAGAAAACAAAGCGTCATCTAGCCTGAAAATACCCACTATGTGCTTGTCATGCTGGCATAATGCTAACAAAAAGCTGAAATTTCAACTAACAGAAACATGAATATTCCCCCGCATTACCTCCAAAATCCTCAGCAAATAGAGCTAATCTGAAGACACAAAGATAGATTTGCAAAGCAAATTCAGCCCAGCAATGCACACATACCACTCCCGAGGAGGGAGCTGTGAGCCAGCAAGGGAAGCTCTTTTCCCCAGCACACCGATGAGCACAGTGCTGAGCTGGGGTAGGAACCAAGCCTCCAGCCACAGCCCGTATCTTTTTATATTGCCTTGTAAGGCTTTCTCACGCTTGCTTTCTTGCAGAGTCACTCAGCATAAATTTTCTTTCTTTCTTTCTTTTTAAAAAAGCTTTCCCTTGCAGCCGTATAGCTTGGGAGTTGTATTTTTTTCATCTGATGAAAGGTTGCCTTTCAACGTGTTCCATCTGATGAAAGCTTGTCTTGGAGAGTGGAAATAAAACAGTTCCAAAGGAATCCCATTTGTAGGGGTCTGAGTGTGGCCATGCACAGGTCAACACACTTTTGGTCACGTAGTACGTGGAGCAGAAGAAAGAGATTTTTTCTGTGGCATAAATTAATGCCATCTGAGACACTGTGCATTTGCATTCAATGCCACACCTTCTGAGAGGAACACTGCTGCTCTTACTAAGCATGTTTTGGATGGCAAAGATTGACTTGCACTATGTTTGCAACTCATCATTGAGATGCAGATGGAAATGATGCCATTATCCTGAGATGATGAGTGGGGAAGCTGTTGCAAGGCATGTCTTGCAGCTGCTCACTTCTTCAGAGCTGTCATGCGGATGTGGCACTGTGACTAAGCAGCTCCGACAGCCAGAGGGGTTTCCTCATCTCCTGGAAAGAGAGGTCACACTTTCATGGGACTGCACATAGCCTAGGAAGACCCCATGCCTCTTCCTTGCCTCCCAATGCTGCTCTTGGAGGAGTCACTTAAGTGTTAAGACCTTCCCTTCTCCACCAGCACGTTCTCTGCATATCAGCACCTACTGGCATCAACATCCCTGCTCCATGGGAGAGAAAGTGTCTTCTGTGGCTGAGGGGAAGACTGGAGCTTGGAAACACATGTTTAATTCCTGCCTCTTATGGCAGGTAGGTTTTAGGATTCTTCCATCATTTCACTGTTTCTTTCCCCAGCTATAAAGTGGCAAGAAAACTATTTCTTTCCTCTATTATCTTTAACTCCATCTGTATCTTGATATCTAGTATTTATCTATAAATGAAAGCAAGACGATTTCTAAAGCACTCACAAACCACCTGACCTGCCCAACCTTTTTGGGACAATCCACAAAGCCATTGCAGAGATGCCCACGTTGCTGGCTTTGCTCGGGGTCTGCTGGCATTTCTCAGCACAAGCAGTAACTAATAACACGGGGGGAGCAGAAAACTCTTCCTCCGGGGGAAGAAGCACAACCCAGCTGACTGCAGGATGCAACTTACTGCGGTACGAAGGGATCACCATGGAAACCTCTTTATATTGTTTCAGCCAATCTTTCTGTGCTGTCACTAACAATATCACCTTCTCGCTAGCCATAAAGCAAGGATTCCCAAAGAGATTTGCAATCCTTGTGGGCTGGCTGAGTCATCGGCCATCGGTGCCAAGCTAAGCACC